GAAGGCAAATTATATGGGCTACTGTCTCACATGTTTTAAATGATGGCCAGTCTTGCCTGCTTCATATTACATCTACCCTATACCCTCCTAAGGAAAAGCCAACTAGTTTTTGTCACAAAATGCTGTAAGGTAGCCAGCCTGTATTTTGTATGTTGCTTTGTGACAGACAGAGAATGAGCTTTCCTAAGGAGATTATACTCAGAAATCCGAGAGTTTCTTTGACTGAGTGCTTTGAAAATAAAAAGTTAATGCTCCCTGGAAGCAGACCTGTCCAGACCAGATGAACTGCAAGGAGGATACCAGGACCACTGCAGAAGCCTAGCAGAGGAGGCACACTGCTCTCCATGATACCAGCCCTAAACTGGAAGTACATTGTTCCTTATGGAGCAATGAGCTGTGTCAGCCCTGCTGCGTTGCTGCAGAAAGGACAGAGTATATAGAAAAGAGTTTAGGCACCTGACTGGCACATGCTGCCTTCCCTCCTCTGCTCCCCAGCCTGGATTTACATTCTTGGCATAAGCTGCTCCTTCAATGCAATCTGTCTAGCAGCACTGAATTTGATAAGAACAGCTGAGTGTTTTGCATTTTTATGTGTTTAGTGATGCGTCGCCTGCTGGAGAGAGATCATCATCCCTCTGGGAGGGAAGTGGGGGACAGGTGGATCTGCTGCAAAGAACTTGAAAGGTTTGTGAAGTCTTCTCCTTCTCTGCCCTGGCTATCTTTTTGCACCTTTACCAAAATCTGAATAACACAGGAATGAAACATCCAACCAAAACTATATAGTAAAAGATGTACTACTTTATAGTCTTGTTTTGGAGAAAAAAATCTTTAAAATCCCTACAAGTTCAATCCTCCAGAGGAAGCTGTTGTATGCGACTGCCATGTGAAACATCTTCTCTGTAAATCAAATGCCCACTATTTAAGACAAGGCCAAATATATTATTATTTTTAAAATAAGCATGTGTATCTTTAATGGGATAGCATCAGTCCCTCTAATTCTCATTTATAATGGCTCATGCATTAGGTCTTGCAGAGACATGTGAATGCTACAATAAAGCAAAATCCTCTGCTACGCTCCTGTAGCCTGCCACTGAATGGCTCCAGTAATTCTGAGCACACTGCTTTCAATAATGAGTCACTATGATACTTAGTCACTCCCTCCAGCAGCAAAATCCTATTGATATCTCAATATTTTCATGCTGAAAATATTAACAAAGGAAAAAGTCTCATTGTGATTACATCAGTTTCTAGTTACTTGCTGCACAGCTCTCAGAGAGTTCAGAAGGTCAGTCACAAGTTTCATTTTTGCAATCTTGCTTTCATCCCCAGCTGCTAGCACTGCAAGTTTATATGGCTGCTTCATCACATTGTTTAAAAAAAATAATCTTGCCTAGAAAAGTTTAAAAAAACCTTCGAAGGTTGAAGAAATCAACAAAGATGTTTGTCCTGTAAGTTTCTATGTAAGTTGCAAGGACGTGTATAATCTCACTGATAACCCTCCAGGCCTCAGAGGTTCCCTAGCATCTCTGAATTTCAGGAGACCAATTTCTTTAGGCACAAAAGTTTGTCTTAAATTCAGGGATTACCTCATAAACTTAAAAAAACTCCAAACAAACCCCAAATCCACAGCAGTAAAGACAGGACTTTCTGGGCAAAGGGTGGACAGGAAGACACTTCATGGAAAGGGATCTCTGGCTCGCTCGCATGCATGGAAGATGGTTATCACAGTACACAGACAGGGAGGAGAGGTAGATGGCATGAAATATGCCATCCCAGGACAGTCAGGCAGGTAGAGACTAGAGGGATCTCCATTTTTTCCACTCAAGAGTGAAGTGTGGGGAGCAGAGGACAAGCCCCTTGCCTGATCCAAGGTCCTGCCCTCCCCTTCATTTCGTCACTAAAAGGCGCAGGGAGATAACCAATAAAGGCTGTTTGCTTTTCATTGAGCAAGAGGCTGCAACTCCATTTCAGAGCAGCAGCTGCTCTGGATGCCTTGGCAATTCTTGGTTAACGTAGAGCATAAAGCACTTGCCAGCTAACTGATAACACCATCCTGGGCCAAACCAACCGTAAAACAGTCCTTGACTAAGGTCCGCACGGCGTGCCCTGGGACATGCTCTCTAAAACACGGGACCTGGAATCCTGCATATCCTTCAGTTTGTTAAACCCCAAGAAGCTGACATTTGTGGCTCCAAGTTGCCTCATCTTCTGCCAGTAAAACTGAATTCCTCACTTGGCCAGATGAGGAAATACAAGCAGGAATACAGTTTCACCCCAATTGAAATTTTTGAGGTGGATTAAGTGAGCCACTAAACAGCTGTTTTGGTAACAGGCTGAATTTTCTTCTGGTCCTTGCTTACCAGCTCCACACAAGGTATTTGGAAGAACTGCTTGTTTTGTTCAAGAAGATAAAAACACCTCTGGAAAGGAAAAGCCAGTGGAGCATACCTGTCATCACAGTAGGTGAATTTCATGTCCATGCTGTGGCGACTCAGGAAAGTCTTGCTGTCCAGAGGAATATCGATGTTTGAAGGGTGCTGAATAGGCTCACACATTATTATAAGGCAGGAGAGAAGAGGCTCCTTATACCCACACAGAGTGTGAGGAGGGCAAGTGTTATACACTTTAACTTGTCCAGTGCAGTGCAAAACCTGAAATAACAAGAAACAAACATAGGATGTACTTTCCACATCAAAATGTCTAATAAAATTAAACCCACTTAATTTGGCTCAAATATTGTACCTTCCACGTGGCAGACTTGAGGTTAACAGTTCTGCCTCTGTTGGTAACAGTGCATTTCATCCTCATGAAGAAGTCACGCTCAGTTGACATCTCTTTGCTTTTCTTTCCAAAGCCTGGACCTGTATAAGGAAAAGGCAAACTAATTTTCTCACTTTCCTTCTTGATTTCTTCTACTCATAAGCATGGAGGATTCAACAGAAATAACAGACTAATTCTCAGATCATTTACCTGCAGAGACCATCAAAGATGCTTGGACCATTGCAGAGCAGTTTGTAGAGCTCAGACCTAAAACTTTAAGTGAAACTTAAATAGGGCTTTGTGCATTTTAAACCTATGTTTTAGCTTGCTGCACATGAATCTTTCCACAGTGTTACAATTCAAAACATTATACCTGTCTAAACTTGATGAGAGGAAAATACTAAACAGTTTCTTGGTACTATCATATTTAAGCAGTATTTGGCAAAACAAAATGAATCTGTAAAGCACTGAATAGCAGTTAATGATTACTGTAGGAATGAAAATTCCTTTTACCACAATGAACAGATCTCTTTTGCTAGCCATTTATTTCATTTGGTTATTTCAAAAACAAACAAGGGCTTTTGTATTTTCATTATTACCATTTTTCAGACTCAGATTCTCTCGAATTTCTTCATGGTCACATGGATGAGTAAAGTCAAAAATGCTGTGTCCAGTGAGTTCCACCTGTGTGGAAGTAAGAGCTACACATAGTAAATCAAAGCAACGGAAAGTATTTATCTGTTTTTAAATACAATTGAAATGAAACTGGTCACTAGAACAAAGTGCATTGACAGGATGCTCACAGACACAAATCCCACGACCCTCCCTTTGTTTATCCTCTGCATAACTTCTCATTTTCTCCCCAGAATTATTCTCTTATCTATGAATTTGCACAGTACAGTTAACAGTCAACACCTCTTGTTGTTTTTGACACAGGACAAAACTCCCAATCCACAAAGCAGAAAAGGGGGGACCCAAAAGAGCAGCTCTATCCCTTTTGTCCCAGAGTCTAAGGCACAAGGAGAATAAATGCCTTCTCATCTCCCTAGTGAGATGTAGGAAGGCAATTTTGCAGCCACCAAAGACAGGTAGGAAGGGAGGGGGAACCTGCAACCCATGTAGTCTGCTGTGCAGGGTAAAGATAAGACATTTTATTTCCAGTCTTTCTTGCAGTGACACACAGCTGGGTTTTCTGCATTTAGACATAAGAGCTATTTCTATGAACTATATTACAAAGAGAGGAAAGCATAAAGGAACAAGTTACCTGGGTAAGACCCATATATTTGTTGACATTCTCAGACAAAAAGATCATGTCTCCATCCTGTGTCACCACAGCAATAAATCCCTCCAAAGCTTTCAGGTACAAGTTGTCCATCTGCTGGTCTGCCTCTAGTTCATTCTCATTGTCAGCACATACTGAGAAAAAAAAGAAAAAAAAAAAAAAACCATTTAAAGCCTTCAGCATCCTAGCCAGCCTTTTTTAATGCAAGCACATCTGGTTACAAGGCAACAAAATATTTTTCAGCTGTTAAAATTTCCTTTCAACAAACCTTTTCTGGTGGGGCCTTCAGAACAGCATATAAAAAGGATGCCCTTATCACTAGAAAGGCAGGAGATACTTTTCTAAATGTTTTGGCAAACGCAAGACCCTCTCTTCACCTTTAGGATGTTTATGCAAGATATGTTTTCAGTCACTAACACCTGCAAATGCAAATGACTGAAGTGCATCTTCTTTGTGCATATTCTCTTGGCCACTTGCAACATTTGTACCTCCTAACAGGCACAAGGCAGAGGGCAAGCCTTACAGAAGGTACATAATCTGTGCATCCCTAACAAACACCTAACAGGACTCTTTCATCATGTCAGGTTTTCTAAGAAGCTGAAATACAGCTCCTACAAAACAGGCCTAAATAGACCTCTTCACTCAGTACAGATACACCTGTTAACACTGCTTTGGATAGAAAAAGTAAAAAACTGCTCCCTTGAAGTCATTCTGGGTGAATCTCTTTGTCATCCTATAAATCTCAGTATTCTTCAGAAAGCCACAGATCATCTCATTGATACCTGCTTTTTCATCTGCAGACCTCAGGACTTCCTATGCTTCACTCCACCAAAGTCTGACCAGCTTCATCACCCACCCACACTTCCACTGTCCTCCAAGGAGAGCCTCAGACTCTGCTTATGTCTTAGATGTTTGCCCGTGCAGATTCATGAACCCAATGCACCTTACTAATTTCTGGGAAAGACATGCCACTGTTCAGCTGAAACGTAAGGCTGTGCTAGAATATTTATTACAGATAATTTTTTGGTTATACATTTTCCTGGTACCTTTTGGCTTTCGCAGTGTAGTGACAACTGATGGCACCGTGATGCCCTCATCGTGTGTGCTCCCCACGGCCCACCCAGTGCCACGGGAGGCATCACGTGGCAGAACTGCAGGCAGGGGGGGAGAGGGTAGGCACTGCTCCTCCTGATGCCAGTCACACAAATGCCTGTTGCCCTTCCATGCTTTAAAGCATGTCTCAGCTCCATGAATAAGAAGCTGTCAAGGAACAACATGCAGACAGCTAGTATTGAAAAATTTCTGTGTAGGAGCTGGCCCATTAATTTCCTGATATGTTTTATGTGAAACTTCTGGAATTATGTTTTACAAAACCACTTATAGATATTGTATCTGGTCTGTGTACCTCAGACATGCTGTGGTAAGCTTATCTTTACAGTTTTGTCAGTTAGCCTGCACATTTGTGATCAGTCATTGTAAATGTCATGGTAAGGCTCTGATTTTGAAGGGAAAAAGCAAGTAAAAGAAGAAAAAAACTCCACCTTATTGTCTCAGAATGAGGAATAACCAACTCCAAGATATAGGGCCATGGGTAAGTCCCCCCTAGATCAAAGGTGCCCTAGAGCCCATGGCAGCAAGGATGATGAGAGAAGAGCTGAAGTGATTCTGCTCTCTGTGCTCCTTCCTGGTGGCACAAGAGTGCTCCAGGTTGGGCCCACCAGCAATTTTGCCATCCAGAGCCTCCAACCATAATTGCATCAGCCTTACTTGCAAGAACAGTGGGACACAAACAAATTCCTTGGAGAAGTTGCTCTCCTTTGATGGTTTAATGTTGCAATTTCAGCTTACAGTTTGTTCTGCAGTACACATACTGTTAGCACTTGAGAAAAGTCATTAATTTTTGTTCTTTTCCTCAATGAAACAGCACATTGATCATATTCCTTCATGTTTCTTGTTGAAATACTCATTTTGCAAGAAGTCTAGAAGCAGGAAAAGGGCATTGCTTTGTAAAACGTTACATGGTTTGAGTTTGTTGCTTTTTTGTATAGGCAAGAGGCTGAGCCAAACTAACGCAGTTTTTACTTTGAAGCACTAATGAATGCTGATTAAATGATAAGTTTGATCTATACAGCTCCTGGAACTGCAGCTGCTAGTGCCTGAGGATGTACTGCAAGTGAACCAAGAGGGATGAGCAGTCGCAATGGAGGGCCCAGCAAGCACTGTTTGGAACAGGTAAGTGGTGACAAAAACGATGCTGGCTGCTGCTGCTGCATCCTCCTGTCCTCAACATCCCTCCCTGGCAGCAGCCCATCATGCATCGTGCAAACAAGGGAAGAAATGGACTCAGCCCCAGAGCTATTGGTTTATCACCCTTTGCCTCTCAACAAGACTGGTAGCAGGGAAGAGAGGATGCTCTCTGGGGATGGCCAGCACAGGCTGGGGATTTATCATTTCACATCCTTGCACTGCAATTCTGGCTACACATGCAGGGGCCAGTTCCTCCTCAGTACAAAGCAAATGACTTCAGGAAATTGCATCAGGACTAGCATTTAAAATACAGAAAATATACAATAATATATTTGAATAGTACGCACTTTGACCAAAATGACATTTAGGAAAGGAAAAAGAAAAAAAAAAGAAAGAGGTAAGTGACCATCTGCTCCCAAGCTTGTTTCTGCTGCGTAAAGAATGTCAAGGGTCTTTTTTTACTTTTCCGGAAGCAAACAAATGGTTTATTCAGCAGGGATCATGGCTATAGCCCAAGACAATCAGCCAAGTGTGGGTTCAGAGAAAAAATGACTTTTCAGCTCTAACCCCAGACCCTCCTTTCCATTTTTTTTTTTCCCAGCTCATTAAGTTTGCATTAACAAAACACGACCATTCAAAGGCAGGAAGGCTATTCAAAGCATTTGTATTCTTAAATGCCTCCAACAGTGAAAGACAAACACTTTACTTGTATTATCAGATGATTAAGTTTGCTTTTCCCTGTATATAAATTATATTACTTATACAAACACACACAGAGGACATGGATCACTCACATCAGGACTGCAGGTTCAAACCCTTAAGGTCCGAGCTGAACCCAGCACTTAAAGATATAGTCAGCTTTAAAGCATGTGGTTTACAGGGTTTGTGGGATCAGAGTACACTGTTTTTATTAAAATTATCTATGTCCAGCTGGAGGCATCTGTGATGTGGACAGAGAGGAGGGAGAGAAGATTGTTTGTGCTGCTGTGCACCTCGTCTAACCCAACCCAAAAGCATGACCAAGGTGTTTTGCAGACACACTCCAACCTCCCTGGTAACTCAATAAACCCCACTGCACCCCCTCCTTTCTCCTCAGCAGTCTGGCTGCAGCAGGAAAGGGGAGCTGGCAGGTACGGGTTTCTGGTGGCACTTAATAGGGCGTGCTCACGTTTCAAAGGCAAGGAAGCTGCAGGCTCTATCAGGCACATAAAGGTGGGTGCCAAGTACCTCCAGAACCACTCTGCTGCTGTTGCCCATTTATTCCTTGCCTGCCCCCACAGCAGCCTGCCCAGTGCAGCTCCAGCACTGGGGAACACACCAAAGGTGCTCATGTCTTCCACTGTTTCCAGGTTCTTTGCAAACACAGTCCCAGAAGGTGTCATCTGTGCTCACCCGCTGAAGCAGATCAGCTACCTGAGGATCCTGAGTCTGCAGCAAAGAAATATGCTGGGCTGCACTGTGGCGGCCCTGGTATGCCCTGTATCAGGTAACTTGGTATAATTATAGTAATATAAATAATAAATAGGAGTCCCTCCTATGGCTGCAGTGTCAGCATTAGAGCACGTTCCCTTTCTCCTGTGGAAAACACTAGCTACTAATACACAGAGGATATACACACTTTAGGAAAGTGATACATCAGAAGCAGTTCAGTCATTGCCACCAAATATGGTTTGCTTCAGAAAGAATATTTTGCAGATGCAAAACAAATAATGACATGGCTACTGCAAGCTCCTCCCTGAAATCCCTACTGTGTTTCACTTTGCTTTAAATTGTCTTCATTAATTTACCTTGGTGCTGAAATGGAGTGTAAGATTAGTGTAAGAAAATTCAGCTTCAGGTGGAAAATATTTGAGAAAGCTGGGACCAAAGGGAAGTGGGAAGTTAGCATGAGGAGGTGAGAGCAGAACTTCAGCCTTGGGCTTCCAGTAGATCTGAGGTCACTTTATCCAGAGAGCAGCACCTCATGTAGACTTGCCAGGTTTTTGTGGGTCTTTGGGAAGGGTAACAGTGGGACTCAATACTGATTTTTAGGGGGTGGGGTGTTTTTTTGGGGTTTTTTTGTTTGATTTTTTTTTGTTGTTGTTGTTGTTAGCATTGCGTTTCAAAATAGCTGCAAGCTAAATTTTGAAATAAGGATGTATTTCTGTTTTTTTTCCTACAACATTTTCCACCTCCCCTTACCTAAGGGGAGTACCTCAGTTCAGACACCATGACAGTATAGCACGGAGACCCGGCTGCAAATATGCCAGTTTAAATTAACAGCACATTCAAGCAGAATGAAGTGCTGTAATATTGTTGTCCATATTATAGCTACTTGATGGAGCCCAGCCAAGATTGTGTTCAGGTAACTCTGGAAAGCCTATACAGGAGGAGAATGCCTGACTAGGGGAGACTGGGAGATGTTGAAACATGTCAAAAAGCCTTGTAAAACTGCTGCTGTGGCCTTCCTGGGATGACTGTCAGAACTACTGGGGAACCAGGAACAGAGCAATGGTGTCCCATATCCCAACATTTGATGGGTCATCCACTGCTCACTTTGCCCTAAGGCAGTACTTCTTGAATTTTGATACAGTATTTTTCAGTCCATGTCTCAGTCTGTATTAAATTTTGGTAAGTATTTATTTTGACAAATTTTCTAACTGCCAAATAGAATTTATTCATTGACAAGAAACTTTGAACTGTAATGGCAAACACTTATTGCAGTGTTTATCATAACCTTTTATGCTAAAAATAACTTTTGTAAACAAGCTTTGATTAATTCTCACTGTCAGGATGTGCACTGTTCCCAAGTTTAAGAACAGTTTTTCCGTAGATGCTTGCTCATTTCCTTCAGTCCAACCTCTTGGAACGAGTCTGAAGGCTCAAAAATCAGGCTTCTCCTTAAAAGAAGTAACTGTGCAGGTATAAACAACCACCTAGCAAACAGCCTATAATTCCTCTCAACACCTTTGATCTGACTCAAAGGGGTCTTTCTGGTCAGTTCAGAGGTAGACAATGATAAAATGTGTTTCTACTAGAGGTCACATAATCACCTACACAGAATTTTCCTGGCTTTGTCTCATCCTGGTTCCTATAAGTACAAGTAAGTTGCTTACATATGGTGCATAACTGATACCAGGCTGCAGCTGCCGCTCCAGAGGAGGGTTGCAAAACCTGCCTGATGCCAGCAGGCAAAAGTTAGGGAAGATCTAACAGCAGCTTCATCCTGCATCAGAGAGAGCAGCTTTGAGACAGACTTGTCTCTTCCTGGTTTCTTGTTTTCCATCAAAGGAAAGAGATTTTTTCCCCCCTTTTTTTCTGTCTTGACAGGGCAGTACATCCTGTTCAAGGGGATATTTTCAATGTGTTCAATAAAAGCTTTCAATTTAGATACATCAAGAAAAAGCTACTCTTAAACTTGAAGCTTCCTGAAGGGCTCTTATCTCCAAGTGCACAAGCAATCTTGGATAAAGAAAACACTTATGTTAGTGTTGTTTTGATTGCAGAGTTTGTATCTAGCCAAATCATTCAGATGCTGCTCCCAGGAACTTGCTTGGAGTCCTGCAGCCATTGGTGTTGAATGTTGGGAATACAGCACCCCATCAGACCAGGCTTTGAGTCCCATGGGACCTTTGGGTGCACCTTCCCTGAAAGGGGACATCACTTCAAGCAGCTGAAGCACTCAGCACCCAACTCCCTCTCATTCCTACCAGCATGGTTGGCATAAAACTATTTTTCCAATGTAATAGAAGTAATCAAATAGACATTTTTCAAATGCTATTTTTAAAGCACCGTTTTATGCCACAATGGTCTGACATTAGATGCAGCTTGTCCAGACATTCAAAAACAATGCCCACATCAGTTCTCCCTGCAGTCTGTCCTCTCCCTTAAAAGCCTAGAGAAAAGCTATTTTTTCCCCTTCTGCTCCCTGCTGGCTTTCCGGCTCTGTTGTCTCCCTCCCTTGAAACCTTCACACTGGCTTCCTTGTGGCCTCCCTTCTCCCAAACAACTTCCTGTCTGTATCCCTGTTCCCTCCCCATTTCTGCTGCTGTCTGCCTGGACAAGAACAACTCCCAGCCAGTTTCCTTTGCAGGACTTCTGCACAGAAAAGACACCCGGGTGACCACACAATTGGGATGGGATTAAGGCAAGCGAATAAAATTGTGTTTGCCTGATTAGCCTGATTAAAAAGTCTGTTGTCCTGGCACAGAGAAACTCACTGTACTAAAGAGTTTTGGTTCCTGTAACACCTTTAGCATCAGTGCAGTTCAAATAAACACTTAAAGTTATTGGCAGTATGCATACAGTCTTCCTAAAATGGACTCCTCCTCATATTCAGACAAAAAGAATATCTGAGGCAGCCTTAGCAACTACCACAATGTTAGCTGTTAACCAAGGCAGCCATTCTTTAGCAAAAGCCATTTTTTCACTTTTGCCATCTATTAGCTCCCAAAAAGCATTAGCCTTACTTACTAGCTATACTAGAAAATAATATAGGAAAAGTACTGCTAAAAGTTTTTCTGACCACACTAAAGGACATAAGATCCCAAATCCAAAAGCTCCACTACTGATAAGAATCAGAATGCCTATTTTCAGCAGCAACTTTATGGGATCAAAACCTTTACTTGAAATGAACAAAGATCAGTTCTAAATTTATCCCAAACATTTGAATGTGATGATGGTAAAAATGTATTATGCCAGCAGAATTAGGAGACATCTTGAAAAATATTTAAGATGATCGTAATTAAATATTTCTGCTAAGCATTCCAATTATACTGCGTACTGTTCTGTGCACAACATGGAAACAGTATTATAAAGCTATTGTTTCAGTTTGCTTCCTGTGATACTAATCTCAATCAGGCCGTCAGACGAACAGCCTGCATTTCTAAATGTTAAAGGCTTCCTTTCCAACATTCCCACACAGAATTGCCTACTGTGAAAATCAAAGGGAAACGTGTTACTAAGTAAAGCAGCAACTTTTATAAAGCCAAACCTGGTATTTTTTACCCTTTTGAACTCTGAGATATACAACCAGCTATTTCCTATTATGATAGGATACAAGGGCCCTACAACGCCTGCAGGAGACGGTAACTCTGCAATCCAGAAGTCAGGATTTTTCAAGGCACGTAGCAGGAGAGCTCTCAATGAGGGCTCAGATTCAGGGACTCTGCCATTCACCTGCTCAAAGAATGTGGGCATAGATTTCCCTAGGTCTTGGCTTCCCAACAGATAAATGATCATTATGCAGACACAGCTAATAAAACAGCCCGAGTTACACCAGTGAAAAGCCCTATTCCGACTCAGGGAATAATAGGAAAGGGCACAAGACAATCAATGCCAGCGGAGTGAGATTGGCAAGTTGCCTACAGCCATCTCCAAAATCCCACCTGGAGCATCAGCTTGCAGAAAGATGAGGGTACAGTCCTGGGAAAGGCCTTGTTCTCTCTGCTTCAGGCAAAATTGCCTTAAAACAGAGAGATGTGTTTGAGAATCGTGCCCATAAACAGTAACACAAAATAAAATATGGTGTGCTAGTAGGTTTTGATAGACTAAATTAGAAACAAGAAAAATGGTAATCAAGCAGTAGTTTTATCTCTATCCCATTTTGAAGCTTTTTTTCAAGCTGCAGCAAATGTTATTTCAAATTACTGTCCAAATTACTGACAGAACAAACACACTCACTTAACTCCAGTTTACAGTAGGTGTCCAGCCCAAATAATCCAAACCACTTCAATAAAGGCAACACGTTGTCTTCAATAAAGACAACACAAAGCAAATGCAGGTTGGGGTGGGTGTTTGCTTCTATGCACTTCCGCCTCCCCATTTCCCAGTTCATCAAGAGATGACACAGTGTTCCCCATACTCCCTGCCAGTCAAATCAGACTTCTCAAATGCAACAGTATGTTTATGGTCAAATTCCAGGCTGCTAAACATGCACATGAAACCTTTGCTGCAGCTTTGCTTGGGGCTCAGAAAGGGTCCAAAGCAGAAGCAAGAACAGAACAAGCACAAACATCACTCAAGCCCATTTTGCATCTTGCTTCACACTGGTCAAAACAGGATAAGCAGCAAACCTCTTGATCTGTGAGTCTCCAGCTGCATCAAAAACCTACCACTCTCAATTAAACTGGATGGCCTTCTAGTGAAAGCCAATGTCTTTTTAAAGACTGACATTATTCAGAGGCCCACAAAGATAGGAAATTTATATGTTAGCTATACTCAGAATACTAGATGAACAACAGACAAGGTTTTCTGACTTGAGTTCTTTAATTATAAAGTATTTTCATTATCAGAAAAGCATACCAAAAATTTCCAGAAAATCCATCCTTTTAAAGTACCTTAAGGTCAACTCTTCAGAACAGAAGCATCTAAGATTTTGAAACCCTTATCTCCACCTCTGGTGCCTAAAGATGCAGCCATGGACAAATCT